GTCATCAATTTAACGATTAAAATTCGGAAATATCAACATCGTCAAATAAATAAAAAAAATATGAATTCTAATAATAGTAATTGTAATGAAAAAAATATGCAAATTACTGCAACTAGTTAAACCGTAATATTATAGAGAAAAAACTGCCATTAAAAACTGGTATTGTAATAAATAATACATAAAAATCTATAACGACCAGCCACAATAATATTAGTATATTAAAATTTTAAAGCATGTCCGCAATTTTATTACATATGAAATAAAACATCCACATGGGATACTATATCAGAATTAAATTAAACCAACATATATTTTCTTATATGTTACGCCAAATTATAAGTCAGTTTCATCATTAGAACTATATATAAATAGATAATAGTATAAGGCATTAAAGTCAAAAGTTATGACCTAAAAAACAAAGTAAATAACATAAACAAAGGTATATCGTATTATATAATCCTTTGTTTGAGATGCTAACGATGCTCTGCTATACAAAGATGGCAAATTAATTACTGTGTTATTTTAAACGTATTCTTTATAGTAAACGGTACCGGTTGTCTAAACTATTTTTAATTTGACTTTTATTCACACAATACGTACATAAATCTGATATATAAATGTATTTTTGTTATGCAAACTTTTCATTCTTGTTGTTCAAATGTGTGGGGGTTCTATGCAACCACCTATTGTTTATAATACATCGTAAATATTATTATTTAATTCTATCGTAAATTCGATGAAAATAAGATAATTGTAGTATTGTCATATTATAATAATTTTAAAGTTACAATATTTATATAAGTGGTCATTTAAAACCTCTACTAATATCGAGTAGAACTATCCATAGGAAGGTATATTTAATTAATTATTAACTATCTTCTGTAGTAACATTTCATTATTACGGCTTCATTAAAAATTCATCTAGTTTAACATTTAAAAATTTATTGTTATTATTTATATATACACAGTCATTATTATAAAGACAGAAGCACATCACGTTTTAAAATCGTAGAAAACCTTATAGTCTCGGCTGACCGGCGGAGATTGCGAATTGAGATTTGAAATATAGATTTATAAACCATTTCGACCGACCGGCTCGTCGGATTAATCCGACGTAAGAACTAGTCGGATCAATTCGACCTAACAACTCGTCGAACCAAACAGTTTCAGTAGTATTGGTTATAAACGCACGGAACCGAATTCTCTGTCGTTTCTTTACAGCTCAAGGTCGAAACTATTTTCTTTATTCCTCACGTGACTCTTGAACGGTTCGAGTTAATATATCGGATACGATAATACTCCAAGATATTATGCAAATTTCAAATTGATTTTAATCTTCAGACAACACTGACTTGATAGATGTAATGATGATAATATTTTGTATGCGTTATAATTGAACAAATTACTCAAAGTATATACAGTTTTTTATAATAAAATGTTGCTGATCTCGACTTAACCTACGTGGATCGAGGTGAAGCGTCAAAGTAAGAGATTAAGGGGCGTGGACGTTATGACCTATATAGCAGTAATGGACCCAGCGGGGGCGGACGGGATAACTAGCTTTTGAATATTGGAGACGTGTTGGTTATTGCATGAACGAAGGTTGGAAATATGGAAATACTTTTAATATTTTACAAAACGTTTTTACGAAACTATGAAAAGATTTAATTTTTCTTTCGGTAAACTAAGTTCAATTGAACTGGAAGCATTTCCATTACAAGAAGAAATTACATAAAAAAACATTCTTGGTTCGTAACACAAAACTATAGGTTCATCGATTTATTCGTTCATATATTTCCATTATCGTTTCGATAATACAATATAGCTTATAACAAAGGTGTGTAAAACAGGCGCATGTTATTTATCTCAGCTTCAAACGTAACCAATAATTCGGTTTCTGTATTGGAATCCGCAAGCATTGATCTTATCAATTCCTAAAATAGCTTGCAGACGCGCTAAGACGCAGCCTGTGTTGCAAAACGAAACACATCGGATATATAAATACGGTATAATGAAACATATACAACGAGTTACAGAAACAATGACGCCCTTGAATTCATGAAGTACCCATTCTCACGATGGAAATAAAAAAAAAGTAGCTATCAGAGTATAAAAAGTTATACAAAGCGGGGCTTTGTCGACATTTTTTTGTTTCGGTTAAACGCAAAATGGCACATCTTTTTATGAAGGAGTTTTGTGCACAATTTAAACGTCAATTATATTTTAATCAATATTTACAACTATTTTATTAATGAAAAGTATATATTTCTTCTTCTAGGGGTGCGGCTTTGAAGAAAATTAATGTAAAAACAATATTTTTATAGGCTTCATTAGTTTTTTGAGATTCATTTTATTGTGATAACAGAGAAAATTTGTTATATAATAGCAATTAAAGTGTTTATATGCGGGCTGTGTACATTATTTAACATGTCAATTAGTCTACGCATTTAATTACATCTATTAAGTTGTATTTAATAAGTATAAAATACATATATACATATACATATGTATCGATATATTATGACATGACTGTTTTGGGTCAAACAGTGTTCAAACCATCTCGTTGTTGTCACTTTTTATATGACGAACACGTTTTCAATGTATAAAACAGAAATTTATATTTAATTATATTAGGATATGTAAATTTACTATGAATTAATACTATTAGTGAACATGCGTATGATATAAAACAAAAGATGACAGGAATCAATGAGAAACTCACTTTATATAAATGTATGACACTCCGCTAACAAAAAAGAACTGAAATTATGGAACAGTATTTTATAAATATAACAAAAGAAATGAGAAATTTAAAACCGCTTATCTCTTCGGAGTTTGTATAAAAAAAACAAAAATATTAACTTATCAGACTCGTTTTGATCTCTCACAAACAAGATAATATGAAAAACCATTATAAGAAGCGGTGAAGGACGAAAATGAAGTTGTGTTACGTGACACGAGTGTTCAAGTTAGCTGTATTGATGAAAAAAAGTACAGGAAGAACACGGTCGCGGTAGATTGAGCATAGATACTTAAGGGACTTTTTATAAGGACCTCTCTGAATAAACCTTCGACCTTTAGTAATATGAGAGCTTGTTTTTAAATCACTCTTATAAAGGCTATAACGGTATTGAGGCTAAGATATTGACAGTTTTAATACTTAGCTAGCAAGATAAAAATATATATAAATATAAATAACGAAGATGGAAATGTCTGAACAAAGAAATTAAGTGCATATAAATGGAAATAAAATTTTCAATACATTCGGTGGCAACTTGAATGTGTATGGTACAATATTTTCTCACGATCCTCCAACGATGAAACGAGCACCAGATGATGATTTGCGATTACTATCAAAGTTTTATATGATATATGACGGTATTAACTGTATTGAATAATAACAAAACACAAGAAAAAAAAACATATAATTGAACGGAAATAAATGATTGCTAAACAGTAGAGAATAGTGTTTGTATATACGTGGATACTGGCGGAGAGCCAAACTAAAACACGGGGGCCCCAGTTTATATTGAGCGGCAAATTCAAAACAAAATGACATTTTTTTTGTTGTAAAACACCAGCGGATACTAGACTGTATACTACTGACGTGAACCCAAAACAACGACCCGCCTCCGAGTCACAGATAACTTCAGTGTCACGGCCGTCGTGACACCGCGATCCCAAATTGTAATCTAATGACATTGACACGTGACTGAAACAAAACAGCTAAGTTGGATGTTTCTATGTTCCAAGTTACAGACCAGCCGGCGCCGGACACTATTTTTAAACATAAGCCGGTTGGTGACGTTCACTTACAGAAACGGAATTTATATAACCCAGAATATATGCGAAAGTTGATATATCGCAATCGATAAAAGCGTCCATACTTTTTATGCTTTAGATCATAAATTATTTAGTTAAGAGGAACTGAAAAGGAAATGGTCACTTTTTAACCATCCGGTCGGTGGCTAAATTGACGCAGTTTATTACCACATCTCCGCAACAAACAGTTTATCTTGAAGCCCAGGTGTCCCAATTACAGTATTATTCCATTAAAGTGTAAGAAACGTCACAGCCAGCGATGTTTATATTGAGATCTTATATAAACACGTGTTATATTTAATAAATTCCTGATTGCTCTCGAACAGAATGAGGCGTCGAATGTAGGATTAACAAATCGGTTGACGTTTTGCAAATCAGTGGTATGCCGATGTGGGGGGCTATTAATCGTGATCACGTCAATGCTTCAACATTTGATGGAATAGCATTCCCGACCGTGTCTCGTCCTACAAGAGTTTAATTTAGATTCCTATATGATAGGTCGGGGATATAGTACAATGTTAAAGAATTCTGATTTCTATTCCCTTGGTATATGGTTCAGAATGATGGATATCGGTTATGGCGCAGAACCAGGCAGAAACTCGTATGGCAATTTGCCTATTGCCGACTTCAATTATCTCCCTCCGCACTTATTACTGAATTAAGGCGATAGCGACTGTAAATTTTGTGACGCCTCTGCAATTCTTCTAAATTGGCAGAATGGTCTATATAACCGGCTCCTACTGATAGGATTTGTGTAGGTAAAATTTTTAAACAAAAGCTATCCGATTCTTCGATGTCTACGGAAATTGATATCCGAAATAATGACTACTTTATTTTAAACAAACAGTTCGATCAATATGAAACCAATAAAATTAATTAACAGGAGCGACGTTTGGAACGACAGCAATTTACAAACCGACAACACTACACCAGTAAAATTAACAACTCTGTCGGTGACGTCCACTTGAACATTTTAATAGGCGAAGATTATTGAGTGTTTAAAGCATAACGGTGACGTATTTAATTAAGTCAATTATAATTTAGACGTTTTGCGTAGTGATCATTATCGAATGTTGTTTTTTACGTCTTTATAAGCCATGACTACATTAAGAACTGATGGTTCATCTGCTTGGTGATGAATAACCGTTTTATATGTCTTCAAAGTATTGTAAACTCACCAGGCATGAAGTGCAGTAGTGCAGCGGTGATGGGATAAAGGCTGGGGCTGTATGTGATGTCCGGGCAGGCGTATCCAAGGACAGAGACCACCCTGTCCGCGACCGCGCGACCCTTCCTCGTCAGATGGTAACCCAGACAGTGGGTCGCCTCCACAAACGGTGGCAACATGATCGGCTTGTCCGGCAGCTCCACTGTACCGAATACCTGCATTCATTAAAGAACATAAATATCAATCTCACTAATAAAATTTTATTATGATTGCGTAACAGCCTGTCTCGTTATGTAGCTGTAACATTTCATTGCTGTTATAATTGATCAGGAAACAAACAGTAATAACTGTTTTGACAAAATGCCAGCCAACATATTATATTAGTATGGGTATTAAAATAAAAAATATATATCGCGGCATCTGGGCAATTAAAAATGCATTATATAAAAGCAGGATTTCAGTAAATGAGTGCTTATATTTAGGAAAAACAATCATTTCACAAATCCTGTTTTGCAATAAGAAACAAAAGATATTTCTTTATCGGAGTTAATACAAAGTTACCGCGATATCAAACTAAGTTTTCACGATTATTTATTCTAAAAATGGTCGCTGTATGTTACAAGTATTTATCACAGACAGTCATATCACAAACATGACGTGCATGAAATATTTATAGATGACTAGTTATATATTATATATTAGTAATAATCTCGCTTTTAAAAGTAATTTTGTAAGATGGCGCCAATATACGAAATTAGTATTGATGTTGGTATCTTTAAAACACCTAGTCGTCGGCAGAGGAAAATAATTTAAACAAAATTAGCTCCAGATTGAAAATATTTACCTACAAAAATATTTTAATAAGAAACCTGATGACAAACGGTTATTTCATTTTAAAATTATTCTGCAATATATTTTAATAACAGTCAGTACAGCATGTAACTTTGGATCCTAATCAAATTTTCGAGCATTGTCAATTTACGTACCGAGTTGTGTATATATAATTTTAGAGCTATAAATATCCCGCTTTAAAACTTATTTATATTTAATTTAAAATATCCATACAGATTTATCGAACACTCCTATCTGAAAATGTATTTTAAAAAATTCATAATGTCAAAATTGAACAAACATATAAGAAAGATATCTATAATAGGTACATCTATAATCTAATACAGAAAGCTAGTCAATATTTCTAACTAGTTTTAACATACGTTTTCGTTTATTATCGTTAACACGCAAATAAGTTAAGTAATCACAAATCCAGCAGTCGATCTGACCACGACATATTCGCCACAGTGTTCGTGATTATCCACTTTAACGACAAGGTCGGCTACTGACTACTCTACTGGCTGTACAAATTATATATTTAGTCTAGATATAGCAACAGCACGCTATGTTTGTCTTTGTGTACTATGTACTCGACGGCAGAATTGTCAGACCTTAGGTACTTATTAATTATACCGCTCATAGGCCATATGAGTAACACTTAATTAGTGTCATATATTCTTTGTTGAAGCAAGTTAGAATCTAATGAAAACTATTTTGAAAACTAAAAGCTAAAAACGTCTTACTCTCAGAGGAATATCGATTACTAGGCATTGTATAAATTAGCTTATTTTTTTGCTCTACTAATATAGCAAACTTCGTTATCAGCAAAACGTAAGATATCTGAAAGTAAAATATTTTCCTAGCAACCGTGTTTCTAATGAACATTATCGCTGGCTACGAAGCTGTTCAAACATCTTGGATCAATATTTTCAGGATAACAGATAAGAAGATACTTTTAGTTAGGTTTTAACAAAAAAATAACAGAGAATAAACCTTAGGATGTAATAGGAAAAAATCGATCAAGTCATTCATGAGAATCGTAACAAAATAACAGCGATGTAGGAGAGTGTTACTAATTGAATGCTAAAGAGGATACAGGTCCAAGTCTAGACAATCTATTTGCATGCAGGAGCAGGATGTAAATCTGTCAATCTGACTATCAGACGGACATTATTGAAATATATACGGGAACAAATCAGAACATCCTTTTCATATCAATTTAGGTAATGAGACGGATGGATGCTCACTGAAATATTCACATACTTTTCATTTCTTCTATTTAATCATGCTATTGGAACTCATATTATATTTAAGTTAAAGATAGCGATATATATCGACGATTTCGACACTTATTTATAGCCCCGTATCAAAGTTGTAAAGTATAAGATACGGACGATAGCTTGCTCGCTGACTTGACTCATCGTAGCTAGTATATTTTTTTAATTAGGTAACAAATCTTCACTGTGATAGCGACCTACAGGTTCGTTGTACGTTAATCAAGTCTTGATAAAAAATAATAATTAAAAACCACGTTAGAAAATAGCTTAAAACGGCCACGTGTTATGTGAATTTATGGAGCAACGACCTCTTTATTAGTAAATGATAAAATAGCATAAATGTGACAAACAGATCTGTCTTTGATGTGAATCACTTGGCAACAGTTGAAACTGAGTATATAAAAATTTTAAAATAGTAATTTTCTTAATAATAATTATCTGTAAAGTATCCGATATATTTTATAACAAAATAAACATTAAACCATTATATAGAATTGAAAAATTTTACTATAAAAACAATCACTTATACGTACTGACTACTGTCATTTGGCAACAATTGATCCCTTACTAACGCAATGAATCTCATTGACGTAAATTACTCTATTTACAGCGCATTGTAGTATTAATTTATATTATAACTAGTTTTTGCCCGCGACTTCGTCCGCGTTAGTTTCGTCATTAGTAATATATGTATAGCTGACCAGGCGAACTCTATTCCATCTTAGAGGCCATAAATAATCAGGTTTTTCCTGTTTCAATCAAACAGAATGATTGACATATTAGTTAGTTGTCAAATCTAATGTCAAAAAAAGCGTTTGTATGGGAAATAGAAAAGGGCTGTTTTTAGGGTTTTCCCGGCAATTATTCCAATTTTTCTCACCTTTTATACCTTCCCTGAACCTCCACGAACATTTCAAGACTAAGATAAGACAAATCCGTTCAGCTGTTCTCGAGTTTTAGCGAGACTAAGGAACAGCAATCCATTTTTATATATATAGAAGATAGAAGATAATATCAAAAACAACTTGCAGGTAATAAAACATGAATAGGAAAATTACTAAAACATTCTATTATTACAATGGCATAAAAAAGTATATCTCATTGGTCCTGAATTAGCCCGATGCCGATTCTAACACCGGCTTTTACGCTCAAGGCCGTACAAGATAACTTGATAATTAGGGCTGTTACTTTTATTTACATTTCTCGACTCGGATATAATTATGCTTAAGAGTTCTGCGAAATTATTTAAACTTTTATGTCGCTTTGGACATCCTTTTTTTCGGTAAGTTAAAATCTTCGCTTCGTATTTCGTGTTTACGATTTACCCAAACCAGTTTTGGGGACTAATTGACACCATTAACCTTGAAATGAATGCTGCATGGAAGTGACATTATCGGTATTGTATTGTTGAATAAAATTTAAAACCATATATGTACAACAAATAACACCAATTGTATTTAAAGAGAAAATATAATCTATTTATATGAACCTGGCCATTAAAAGATAATCAAACTAAAAATATTAAACTATAAGTTTTGAAATAAAAATAAATCTATGGATTATATTTATTAATAGACTGAATAAGAAAAAAACAAACAATTCTTTGAGCATTATATTGAAATCAAAACGGTTTTAATAAAGTGGAGATGTATTGAATTCTTGGCAATAGTTGCAACTGGTCTTATAACATTGATGCAAATATTATATGTTTATCGAATGAAATTTTAAGAATAAAATATATTGTGTAGAAAAACTTAATATTGGATAAAGTCTACAAACAAAACTACATTGTTTTTACCTGAAGATCTATCTTATATGGAAAAGTTAACTGTTTCAGAATAATATGCATTCATCGAAAATGTTTCTTGGCAAGTGCCATATACATCGACACTACATAATACACGTTTAATAAATACTTCGTTGACAAACAAATTAATCCATTTCATATATATATAAAGTACGTATAGAAGTTATGATATAATATATAAAACAATTTCATCTATTTCAAATCTGCAAATGCATTCAACCTTGATAACGGATAAGAATCAGCACTCAATGCAGCTTGGGATTGAGTAGCTCTCGACGGACTAGGGCTGATAATAACTTTGTTCTGAATGTATGAATACAACACACTGTAATAAATTATATTATAACAAAAGTATTGTTTTGACATACTGAACGAATATCATTATAATTTAATCTACATATATATATTAACATCAGTAAAACATATATATGTAGTTTTGATTCTGTTTTTTGTAACAAAAGAAACCATTAAAATATTATCATTTTCTTTTCATATATAGTACTATGGCAAGGTAATGAAGCAATTAAGTAATATAATGGCTCTATAATGAGGTGGGTGAATCGCTTATGTTCTAATTAGTGTGACACAACCTCGTCGCGACCTCATGCAGACAATCAAGCAGTAATTGAATCAACTCGACCGCCGCTAACATCAAAATTGATCGTCTCTGCTTACAGGTTTACAAATATTATACACTAGGCTTTATAAGGAAGTGATTTAAATTAATTCTTCAAGAGTTACATCATAATGTCAATTCATTCTTGGAACGCACTTCGAAAGCAGCCCTAGTAGGTTCTTTTCAAATTTTTTTAGGTAGAGACTTGAGAAGAGGAGCTTGGACGGTGGAGGTGAGCGTTTATTGCTCGTTAGATAGGGGCCCTTTAAACCTACAGTATCCCAGACACTGTTGAAGATCCTCTCCCTGCAACGCGATGGACCCGGCACCCGCACGGTGTGTCCATTGGATGCTAAAAGTTTTCGTCTCTCTCTATGTATTTAAATTACAAAACTTCTAGTAATGCCGCAATTAGACCAGTTCATCAAAAATTCGAACGAGGTCAATGATATAAACGTTATGTTCAAAGTAAATATCATCTATATATAAAGCATATTCTTTTTTCGCCATGTACCAAATGTTGTTTGAATAAATACATTGCCAACGTTATTCTCTCACGTATAAGATAGATGGTACTATTTCGGGAGGGCGAATCAACGAGGAGGATTCGTCGGAAATAACTAGTGATGTTGCTACAAAACATTCGTGAACAACACTGACTGACGTGCCTTACCGACCAAATGA